TTTTCTATTAAAAAGGCTCCAGACCTGAATCAATTCTGAGTGGAGTCCAACTACAGGTCCTAGGGACTGATTTTGTTCAAGTGGCGGCCCCTTGCAAAAAGTGGCTGCACCCTAAAGAGCAATGTTAAAACAGGCTATTTGTAGGAGTCCAAATTCAATACAAGGCCGACTTTAAACTTGGGCTTAATCCAACATTGCTAATTTAACCCATGTCAGTGTAGGCTCAGTCCAGTTTAGAGCAACGTCATCGGGAGCAACTAGACCAATGACAGTCGGACATGTGGCCCATCTCCGATGCCAAATGCAAAGACCCTTAGCTGAAGACTCTTTTTATCATTTGTATCTGAATCTGAATCTGCAGCTGATTGTAAACATGGCGGATTGGACGAGGAAGTTCCTTTTAGCTACGGTCTTAGCTGTATTATGTTTCTCGTGGACCATCGCCGCCGACACCGACGGGCCATTCATCGTCGCACACAAGAAGGTGGCTCTTACTCGCCTCAAATCCGGCGTCGAACGTCTCTCCGTCTCCATCGACATCTACAATCAAGGATCTGCGTATGTCTTCTGTCCCTCTCCTTTTTTTTTTAATCAGATCCTGTACTTCCTTTTTTAAGCTTTTCTTTCATCGATGCTTTGCTAAATAAATATGCATGTCTATTAATTGCTTTCCTTGAAGATTCTGTTGTTTGGATCCGCGCGTTGGTTGGGTAAATAGTTATGTTATGCGTAATTTTTTTATTATCTGAGCTCGTATACTGTTTCCATAATAGGAAAATGATTAGACAGATAATCCAAAGTAATTCGCATTGATTATACTAGTAAGAGGCGTATTTATGGAGTCAAAGCTGATAAATACAACAATAGTTTGCTCAATTGGTAAGGAAAAAAGTTATATGCTGCATGCTAGCATAATCTCAGTTTTCTTTTGTCTCATTTCCAAATAGGAGTGCGAATTCTCTCGATCTGATTGTTTTGTTGGGTTATTAAATGTAATCAGTTTATGTTCTTTCTTACTTGTTTTTTTCTTTTTCTATCACTGTTACCTAATTGGGACTCGCAATTTCAGATCAGGAAATCAGATTCCTTTCTTATTGAAATCCCTATTAGATCTTTTATTGTTTTCCTTTTATTTATTTTTTGATCGGAAAAATTTTCTATTGCTTCTTGAAGGTGAAGCATCCGTGGAATATGAGCAAATAAACTACAAATGAAGAGATTGGAATCCCTTTTTGACTTTACCTCCCATCCTCAATAATTAAACATTTTATTTGTATATCGCCAGGAATAGAAAGAGTAAAAGATATAAACACACTTTACATTAGCTTTCATCTTTAATTTTGTGTCTATTATCATCCTATATTTGCAGTTTAGAATAGTTGTTTATCTATCATCTATGGTTGTAGTAAGATCCTTCTTAGCGCTTGAGATTGGAATTCTTGTCTGATGCCACTGACTTGTCACCAGCAGGTAACAGCTGAGTAAACTTTATAATGCTTGATACTCTAACACCAGCAGTTTAGAATTCTTGGTTGTAGAATAGTTGTTTATCTATCATCTATGGTTGTAGTAAGATCCTTCTTAACGCTTGAGATTGGAATATCAGCTAGTTTAGAATAGTTGTTTATCTATCATCTATGGTTGTAGTAAGATCCTTCTTAACGCTTGAGATTGGAATTCTTGTCTGATGCCACTGACTTGTCACCAGCAGGTAACAGCTGAGTAAACTTTTGCTTGATAAACTAACACCTAGATGAATTAAATGAAGGGTTAAACGTTATAGTTCCAGACTTTGATTGATAATAAGAGGCTGATAGTTTGGACTCTAAAATTATTGTGTACAATGTTCAACATGATTAAACCATCTAGAGGAGTGCTGAGGATTGTTTTTGGTCAAAATAGTATTTTCCTTTTGAATAATACGGTGTTCTTACTTTCTTTTCACATTGTTAGCAATCTCTCGGTACATCAGCATGATTCAACCCTTGTGCTCATTCCTGAACCGTCTGTGGGATAGACTAATTCCCTTGGCTTCAATTTGGTGAAAAGTTAAGGAATCTAAGAATTCACAAACTTTTTAGAAATGACTTGCATGATTCTTTTTATCCTTTCTTGTGCAACCGACTTCACTCTAAATCGTTCCCAGAGATCTACCTCTAGATATCTGTCATATGCTATCTGTATAATCATTTACCAATGATGTGCTTTGACATGAAAAAGCTTTTTTTGTTCAGGACGGCATATGATGTGAGTCTTTATGATGACAACTGGTCTCAAGATGTATTTACCATTGTCGCTGGTAACACATCCATGTCATGGGAAAGGCTGGACGCGTGAGTCCTCATATTATTGGTGGCATCTAACAATTTGATTTCTTTATCTTGTCTCTTTCTCATGTTGGTTTGCCTGTCTGATGTCAGTGGGACCGCTCTCTCCCATTCCTTTGAGTTGGAGGCTACAAAAAAAACAGTGTTTTATGGTGCACCAGCGGTTATAACATTCCGCATTCCCACAAAGGCTGCTCTACAGGTTCACATTCTTGCTTGTATGGTTCTATTTAGTATGCTTGATATGGACGACATTGATCTATAATGTTTTTGTTTTAGGAGGCATACTCAACTCCAATCCTCCCACTTGACATACTAGCTGATAGGCCTCCGGAGAAGAAGTTCGACTGGGTAAGCTTGAACACTATTAGCTAGCTGCACAAACTACAGCACACATATTCTGTTAATTGTATTTGCTAAGAGAATTTCCTTTTTTGCATGGATTGTCCCAAACTCTTGGTGAATATTCACAGGCAAAGGTATGACATCTTCCTGTAATAGTGTTAGATTTGATAATGCTTACTGTTGCATAAGTTACGTACAGAAAGTGGAGAATTCCACAAGTTTCTAGGTTATCAATCATTATCTGATATAGAAAAAGCGTATCTGAATTTAGAGAGAATGAGAACTACATGGTTTGATAACTTATCCTATTTGATATATCTCTGAGAGCACCCCTAAGTTAGACGTGTTGTTAAATTTAGAATTTCTGTATCTTATATGTCCCACGTGTTGCCTTCTTCATAAAGCAGTATGGTTTTTCTATGAATATGATGCGCTTTGTGGAAATATTTGAAAGTTATAAGAATTAGGGCCTCATTTGTATCTCCCCTTGTTTACAGAGGTTGATGGCAAAATATGGCTCTTTGGTTTCTGTGATCTCAATTGTGGTTCTATTTGTCTACCTGGTCGCGACCCCTTCAAAATCAAGCAAAAAGAAACGCTGAATACAAATTAGATGTCTTGGTCATTATTCCGGCAAGAATCAATCGGAACCTTCAGGATTTATCTTTTCTTCCTCGTTAGTCAAACATCAGTTTATTTACCAGTTTTAACTTTTACACTTTGTAACAACATCCAAGCAGGTAATTAGACTGAGATTAACTCTTCGGCAGATCTCTAAGCTAAGATTTTCTTCACTTTTATGAGAATTTTGTACTGGGTTACTTGAATACCTAAGTTTTGTTTTTTGTGCTTTCCTGTTTGTGGTTGGCATGCTTCTTGAGCATCAACGATTTTCATTTTCTTACACTTCCATATGTGCCTTTCCATTTTAAGAAGTGCGAAATATTTTGCTGGTCGGATGATGGATCAATTAGAGTTGTTTAGTTGACAAAGACAACTGGGTTTAATTAAGGTTCTAATCATTTCAGGATGCTTGTAATATTATAGTCGACCAATATTGACCCTTGTGCACGGTTTTCTTTGGAAATATTATGTCTTCATGCCCATGAGTAATGATGTAGCCTGTAATTTGGGCACTTTTGGATTGTGATTTGGCATGCATATGATGTGGAGCTGTTCAGTCACATTATCAGAGAATAAGTCACCAGTTTTGTCTAAAGATCTCCACTGACATTTGAGCTACCAACTTTGGTGTTTTCCCCCTCTTTTAGGAAACAAACTCCACACAAAATTACATACTCTCTTATGTCTTCCTTCACCACAAATATTATTGCTGCAAATTGATCAATGCGGCTTGCCATTTGCTAAGTGCCAAGAATACAAGCCTTCCTTGACTAGTGCAAAATCTACAGTCTCTTCGTAGGTACACGTTATATATATTCGTGGATCTTTATCAGAGTAATTTGGATGCAGGAAATTGACCTGTAATGTGACAGGAACAAAGACATATTATAGAGTATTTGGGCTGTGATAGCAGTGGCGAAGCTAGAAAATTCAATAAGGGAGTTCAAAATTTTGAAACATTTGCCAGTGGGCTATGCAAAGGGTGTTCAACGTCTATTTTTGACGAGTTTAATTTCTATGCATTCACATTATAGAGAAAGATTATTGTTTTTCGGCGAGTTTAATTTCTATGCATTCACATTATAAATAAAATAATAGTTGCATAATCACATCATTTAAAAGATAAGTACAGGTAATTCTATTTAATAATATTGATTATTAATTTAAAATAAATGGAAAGTAACATGTTATAATAGGATAAATTACAATATGAGATAAAAAAAAATCATAGTACTAATATATAGTACCTCTTAAATCCTTAAAGCCAATTCAATTCAATGAGTACTAATTATTTGTCTCACCAAAATCAAACAGCCCACTCAGACGCATACACTATTAATCTAAAATCAAACAATCCACTTAGAGCGAGGCGGACTCAAGTAAACCCTCTTCTTATAAGATGGGGTCCGCGCCCCTGCTCGTGAAGTAGAAAGCACGAGTTACTAACAAAATGAGCTGATGTGCTTCCTGAAGAAAACTTGGTTTACTAACTAACATAATTAATACATAGATGACAAAACTAAACTATATAAATTGAAGGTAAGCAATTTCAAAAGGCACTACATTTCAAAGCAGTAGATAAAATTATAAGAATAACATGTTGTAGTAACCAGAAAAAAGTGCCTCGATCTAGCATAAGCAAATAATAATATAGTACAAAGCAATGAGAGCCATAATTATTATCTAGACGGTCAACGACATACTCTAATGACCCAATTTCGGAGAGATCAGACTTTCCGTATAGACAAATTGATCAACACCATCATTATCAATGGTAACTGCATCAGTATCATCACAATCTAGAGGCCACATTCGATTGCTTAATCCAACTGATCCACCGGATATTATTCTATATTCAATTTTTGTTAGTTTTCTCCAATCTTCATAGCCGAACAGTACTTCACCATCTGAAAACATATATACTGGTATTATACGTAGAATTCCATTATTTGGTACAACGAACAATTTTGTCCAAGATTCTTTAACACCATAGTCTTTCATCACCCATAAATTAAAAATTCTCTCGTCCGTGTAGTAAACACAAAGGTTTCCTCCCAACACGGATGCGCCCACATCAAAATCAACCTTGATTTTATATAAAGGGAGCAAGCATATCGTCTCTGGCAATGCTATCTCTCCATACATTTCATCTGAAATATTAAACATAACCATGGAAAGCCTTGATAAGATACCAAGCCAATTAAATGCTCCGTGTAGAGATGTCAAACGTTCTCCAATAGACAGCAAAGAGCTATCTGTCCTACCTGAGGATCGATCAATTTTTCGCCAGGAACCACTTTTTAGTGCCAGAATTTCATTAGCGTCTGTCATCCCCAGACATGTCAATCCTAATAACTTTATAATCATCAGTAGTAGAGTCATATCCCAATCCATAAGTAAATTCCTCCTGATATTCATCACAAATAAAGTTTAAGTTTTCAGAGTGGGGAAGTAGTACTGATTCTCCTGTGGAGGGGTTCCATATCAATAATATTGAAGGCTCTTCCTGATTAGGAATAATCCAAATCCCGATGAGAAACAAGCCATCGCAACAAGAAAAGACTTTTATACCATCGCCTGGTTTAGAATTTGAAGGCCAATCAAATCTCCGGATATCCTTAACAAGTTGAACCAAGGATAAAGAAGAACAATAGAAGTAATAACGTTTATCCTTAGGGGTCCATTGGGAAAAAAGAATTTCTTGGGAATTGGGTTCGTACTTGGCATGATCGAGATGTTTCTTCTTAAAATAAGGTTCAGAGATCAATGTATTCTAAGATTCTGAAATACACTTGAAACGAATAAGTGATTTCACCGGTAGCCTGCTGAGGATGTCCGTAAGTATTTCATCCTTTTGGATGTGAATTCCCATCACCATACTACAGGACAAAAATAGGTTTTTGGTAGTTCCCATCACAGGTTGAAAAAAGACGAAGAAGAAATAAGCTATGGCAATTAGAGAAGTATTTCCAGCGACTGCAGGTAGCTGTGATCAAGAGAAAGAATATAATGCAGTCCGGAGAAAGAAATATGTGTCGAAATAGGGTTAAGCGTTCTATTTATAACTTTGTTTCCTTGTTGAAATAAAATAAGGATTGGAGTACTTTTTTTGTGTTGTCATTGTATAAGGATTCCACGTTCTAAATAGAATGGTCACTTTTAACCTAAATAATCTATTATTTAAATAGTTAACCAAAAAAAATTGCCTAAATTGATGGCTACAAATAAGGAGGACGTTTTAGGTATATTGGTAGTTCCCCAGAATGTTTCATTACTCCAACCAGCTCGTTTATATATTCATCATACAGTAAGTGTAACTAAATTCAAAAGCAACAAAGTAAATACTGTTTTCAATGCCAAGCGGGTTCTGCCTACCTAGTATAAAGGCTTTATGCTTTTCAGATAAAATTCACATATAAAAGTAATTTAAGTTTTTTCGATGAAGTCATCATTAACAATTAAACAACAATAGCAATTTAAAGGCTGCTCTTAGATGCAGGTTTTGGTCTACTTTCTTTAACAAAATGGTGGGAACAAAGATCCAGAGGACTAGTCCAGTTCATTACATGTATCAGTTATAGAGAGAGGACAATGCACTAAAAACTGACAAGAATATGAATTGATTTGGCCTTCCACTGGAGGAATCAAAGACATAGGGAAATGCCTAAATTTTTATAAGAAAAAGTTCTAATTAATGATAAAATTCACCACTCTCACAGTCGCAAGAATATCTAGGCACGTCAACTTGTAATAGTACAACAATGAGAGTTGGTGAACTAAAGTAGTGCTCCACTACAGTATGCTGATAAAGATAGAAGCTGAGACCTGAGAGACCCAAAGTCTATGAGAAGATTTGTAACTGGAAAAGCTATATACCGCAAGGATTAAGAAATAAAGTAGAAGAGTTAAACTATCAAGATATAAGGATTAAGGGGAAAGCTTTTGTAAGGAGAAATTAACAGAGCAAGGGCAGCTGCTTTCAACTCATGGATTGTTCTCATTCCAACAAATACATGAAGTTAATCGCCAGATTAGGATTACATAATAGTTCATTTAAACAAACTAAACAAACAACTGCAGCACTGGGAAACTTCTCCAGTGCAGATGCACACAAGTATCCTCTACAATGTCCGAACAAAATTAGGTGCATCTTTCCTGGGCCCAACCAGTGTGCGGTACAAGTACATCATCTCTATTTTATCGTCGTCCTCCTCCTCATCATCATCATCAGGGCTAGTGATCTCCACATTGAGCCCTGGCATCTTCTGTGCCAGTGTCTTGCATGCTCCAAGGGTCACTTGGCAGGACAACATACAAAGGGATCGTATCGTTTCATACTTCCTCACGCCCCCCCAGGAGTGCCACATTACCAAAAGGGCTATTCATGATATCAAGTTTTTTCAGTTTCTTACAGCCATTCAACACATATAGCATCCCGCCATCACTGTCTCCAGCAAAGGGTATGGTTAGCACCTTCAGCTGCTCAGCATACATTCCTATGTAAAGGAATACTTGATCAGTTAAAAGACCAGAGAGTTTCAACTGCTTAAGGCCTTTGCATGACTGTACAATTGCCCCAAAACCTTCATCAAGTGGCTGCTTAGTCATTGCATCTGGCACTTTCGAGTTCCCAGTATGCAATATGAAACGAACTAAATTGGGGCAATTTTTTGCCACAGTTATTAGTGCTGCATTAGTCATCTGCTCGCACACATACGACAATGATTTAAGCTTTGGGCAACCAGCTGATACAGCAACCAAGCCTTCTTCAGTAATACCCTGCATCCTCCCTGGGAAGACCCTTAATTCCTGCAGCTCTTTACTAGTAGAAGCCACAGCGCCGAGCCCTTTATCTCCAATATTATCTCGAATCTATAAAAAGAAGTTTATGTCATTTCATGTAATTGTCTAGAAAGAAAGCAGATAAGGTATTCAAATTNCTCTGAAACTGGACGAGTGACAAAGGTCTCAACCCCCAAGTCCACCAATTGAGGAGTTTGAACTACAATCCTTTGAAGAACATCAAGAGGCACGTGATAATTTAACCTCAGACTTGTTAGGTTTGGACATCTGGCCACCAGTCTCTCAAGAGATCTAAAGTTAACTTGTCCTTTGAGGCAACCAAAATTTGAGGAGACAAGGGTGGTGCAGTTGTCAGGGTAAACAACTAAGCCACTGTCCTCTGTCATCATGAACTACATTTTCTTGCAAGTCCAGCTCTCTTAATAACCTGCATTTGTGTGAACTAGATCAACAAACTAAACATTTGAAAGCAAAGGAAGGTTCTAGCATGTATAGACCAAAAATCTGTCCTTGTAATATTTAGCATAAAATGACATTAATGAATGTCATCGGCCGGGCTCGCCTAAGATGTAGCAAGATTAACTGCCGAGGTGCCAATAGAAGCCGTGGTCGAGATATCAATAGAGATCGCAGTCAAAGCGTCAACAAGGGTCAGGTCGAGATCGATTATTAGTGATGAGATTTGTAACGGCTAATTTGTCAGAACAGGGTATTAGAAAGGGAAATATTCTAGTGAATATTCCTGATGTTTGTATTATTAGGGTTTTCTAAGAAAAAGGGCTCATATATATAGAAAGAGACAATGATAAGGGCATGTAATATTTTCTGATAAAAGCACTTTTTGAGAAGAAGACTCTCTCTAAAAGATACAAACACTACATTTCTAATAAGATTCTACCATCCATTATTCTCTATTTTTCCATCAGATCCGAGAATTATTCATACAAATCTTGGACTTATATGTCATTTATCATTGTCAGGAGAAATATTCGTTCACCCATTCATTATTGGGTGAATCTTCCTCCTTATTTACTTAAATGCCACTTATTGTCATTTATTGCTAGCTATATCTTCATTAACGTTTATGCTTCAAGAATATTTTGCATTTATTATCACCAACCATTTACGGGGTCTGTCCCATCTACTGTATATTTTCAAGATTAGTGTCTAGAGTTATTATTCTTAACTAGATTTAACCCCTTGTTACATAAATTTAATAGTCTAACCAGAAGTTATCCTTTTTGGTCAAACAATTTGGCGCCGTCTGTGGGGATTTTCTAGTTAAATTTTTAGTTTCTTCTATAACTAGCACAGTTTACAAAAAAAAAAGTAACAACAACAACCCAGTATAATCCCACTAGTGGGATCTAGGGAGGGTAGTGTGTACGCAGACCTTACTCCTACCCCGGGGTAGAGAGATTGTTTCCGATATACCCTCGCCTCCCTCCTCCAAGAATTCCCCACCTTGCTCTTGGGTGACTCGAACTCACAAGCAAAACTCCTTTTTCCTTGTCCACACAGATCTGACATGGCAGGTAATGGAGAAGAAAGAATGAAGGCAGTGGCCGATCTCACCACTAACTTCTTGAACACCATCAACAAGGTTTCTGGAACAGAAGGCGAAGATATAACGCCTAACGCGTCCCCTAGGCGAGGTGGGTCGCCCCTCCCTCACGACAGTATCACAACATCCCGTGGTAAAGGAGCTTCCACGTCCACGACGGAAGAGGCGCCACCAGCAGTGAAAAAACTACTTGAAGCTTGGCTAACAAACACGCTAGCCAGCATCCTCGACAAGCCTGCCCAAGAGGAAGCTAGAGAGAACACAAGGACTTGCATTACACCGACAACGGCCGAGCAGCACGGCCCTTTCCATCCAGCAACAGGTATCACTCACAATGTTAATAATGCAAGTGACGGCACCCTCACAGCCATTCTGAGGAAGATGGAAGGAATGTAAAATGAGAACAAAATGCTTAGGGACCAAATGAGAGAGCACCAAGAAAGAGTCGACAAAATACCGGTTGCCCCAAAACTCTTGCCAAAAAGAGACGCTGGTCGATTCGTCGAGCAACCCTACAGTGATGAAGCCTCCCCACATGCCATACCCAAGACCTTCAAGATGTCGCCTTATTTGAAAATATATGACGGCACGACCGACCCCGAAGATCACGTAACTCACTATGTCACTGCGGTAAAGGGCAAACAAGTATCCTCCATCTTGTTGAAAAGGTTCAGCGAAACCCTCACCGGAGGAGCATTAACTTGGTATTCACAACTGCACGTGCGTTCCATCGAAACATTCGAAGAGATGGCCGACAAGTTCGTAACGGCCCATGCTGGGGCAAAGAAAGCGGAGGCAAGAGTGAACGACATATTTGACATCAAACAATCGCCCGGAGAGGAATTGAGGGACTTCCTCGCTCGATTCAACCGAGTAAGGATGACCTTACCAAATGTATCGGAAGGAATAGCTCAAGGGCAACCAGAAAATTATTAAGTCGGCTTATGAAATATCCTCCAACCAC